CTCCCTGCCCCCCTCATCCCCCCGTCCTCCCCTCATCCTCCCTTCACACTCCCTGCCCCCCGCTCATCCCCCGTCCTCCCCTCACACTCCCTGCCCTCCCCTCATCCTCTCCATCCTCCCCTCATCCTCCCCATTCTCCCCTCATCCTCCTCGTCATCCCTTCATCCTCCCCTTCCTCCCAGCCTCACCTGCAGCCGCTGGGCCGCGCTAATTCGCGTCTGCTGCACGAAGGGATTGGGCACGGGCGGCGGGAAGAAGGACGCCTGTCGGGGCACCATAGGCGGCCGCAGTCCGGAGTCCCCGACGCCCGCGCCCGGCACTGTGGCCGCCACCGCTGCCGCCTCTGCGCACCGGTTCATGGCCGATCCTGGCGTCGCATGGGAGCAGAGCTGGGAACCGGGAGCACAGCAGCCAAGCCCCAGCACAAGCCCCACAGGAGTCAGTCCGCTCGGATTCTGCGCACGCGCTCAAATTACCGAGATGCCAGAGGCGCGGCCACCCAGCCGGGTTCTGACCCCGCCCACGGCCCTGGCCCCGCCCACGCTGCTTTCTTTGGGGAACTCCCTGAAAAGGTCCCTAAGAACACTGCAACAGAGACACTAGCAGAGTTCTCTGCTGTGGGGCCTGGACTTTCAATTTCACTGGTTCTGTGCCTAAGTCAAATCACTCAACGCTGGGAAGCTCAGCTGTCGTCTAAGAAATGAGGATACGCATAAATCAAATCTGATCTATTAAGTGAATTGATGTATCCAGAGTGGGTTTTGTTTGTTTGTATTTGGTTCTTGATGTGTGTTTTCGTTTTGTGTACACCATTTTGATTTGGAGTGTTTGTTCAGCTAATACAGGAATTGGTACCAGTAGACTGTTCCACTCAAAACACGGACTTTGGAGATGGTTCTCTTACAGGAAAACTAAGCTGCTATCACCTAGAAAAGGCAAAAACAAGTGCCTTCCACTATAGATGAGGAACCTGACCCAGAAAAGGGAAGACTGAAGCAGTGGCTCCATTTCACTCTGAGGAAGTACAAGGGCTTACCAGAACCTACGTAGGAGGGGGGTAGGGAGAGACAGGACTTGTCCCAGGATCTTAGGCCAGTTGCGAGTTGATAGAGTGCCAAATGGCTAAGAGGTGATGAATAGGGATGGTGAACCATTCGTCTCTACTGGCCAATTCTGATCCCAGCACACAGGCCATGAGAAGTACCATCTAGGACCTAGGACAGTTGCTCCTCCAAACTTAGCCACTATAATATCTCATAATCTTCCTCCCCCGACCCCCACTTAAGTCTGTTCACTCAGGGGCTGACGGAAGGTCATGCTGCTGATCGGGAGTCTGGGCTAAGGATTATGAAGTTCCTCCTGTGGTCTTACTTTGTCCAGGACTCAAGTTCTGTTTCTAACAGCTGTATGACCCCAAGCAAACCACTTTCATCTGTGTCTAGCTGTGTCTCCTCGGAGTATTGTATAGGGGACAGTAAACACTCTTAACAAAGGAAGTTGGATGGTTGCTAATCTTTGCTATTGGCCCATCATTAGAATAGCTATCACTGTTAATGAAAACAACTGACTGAGAAGTAAACTTCCAATAGACCCCATGACTAGCTCCACAGGACCACTGCTGTGTCTGGGCTCTTCCTCATGTGAATGGACACACCTAAGCCTATCTACCCTAGGGTTCTCCTGCCCTTTAGTTTGGCACCTCTGATCCGTCTAGCACACATCATCTGTGCAAGCAGAAATCTGTTCTTTTAAGTTTCCTCTTTTGGCTGGAGTCAGGGCCCCTCTTTGGCTCTGCTAAAACAGATGCAACACTGCCACTCAATTGGTGTCTTTATTTATACTGGTTACCATTTCCCATGGGGAACTATTGACGGGAGAGGCAGAGAGGGCTGAGCAGGAAGCCATGCTGACTTGGTTCTCCTCCATCCAGTGGAGGAAGTGACTGGGTAGGATATCCTAAATAGACTGAACAAGGAAACCATTGCTAAGTGGACTGCAATGCTTTGTGCAGTGACATCAGACAACCTGAGCCCTTCTGTCAAGAAATGGAATATAGTAGAAAACTGAACAGGTTGAAAGAAATGAACAAAGTGCACACGAAGCAAACTGCTAATGTAGGGAAGGCACTAAGGTAGCCAGCCATAAGAGGCATGGTGTCTCTGGTGTCCCCTGGTCATGCCTCTATCCCATTGCCTCATGCAAGGCTGCTAGGCCACCAGTGCCCTCTTAAGACAGCCTCTATTGGTTCCAAGTATGCTGTGAGCTATAGAAGGTTGTGGAAGGAGAAAAACCTCAAATATGGAGCACCAGGGCAGCCCAACGAAGGGCTGCATTGAGAACATCCAAGCATCTCTTAGGGGATGGACGAGAGAAGGAGCACTTGGGACGGGTACAATCAGCACCTGTCTTTGGACACCAAAATAAACCATTCTCTGAAATCTTAAATCACCAGGTGAGGGTGATTAACTGCAGAGCTGAAGGTAAGAGCTGCCAAGTTCCTTCATGTCCCTCCCCAGTGCTCTGGGCCTGGCGTGCAGAGTGATGAAGACCAAGGGCCTGTAGGAGTGGGGCAAGCTCAACAGCCCAACCAGTCCGATTTGATGCTTCCAAACTTCACACTCTTCAGACTTTGGTTCTCCAACTTCAGGTAATAAGCACCTTTGAAGAAGTAGCTGTGACCTGGGATAGAGAAGGAAGAGAGGCTGGACCACACTGTCTTAACATCACATGTGGAGGGTCCCTGTGGCGTTCCTGTCTAACTAGCAGAGGGAAGAAACTTCTCAACCAGGGAAGACTCTCTGGACTGGAGGAAGAGAAATGGCTGTGAAATCCAGCCTTTTAGTCCCCCATCTGCTCATCCCTAGGTCAAGGCTCAGGGCACTAACATCTTAGAGATTGTGATGAGATTAAATTAGGTAATACCTGCTATTGATGATAGTAATAACAGTACCCTACTTAGGACAAGCACCAAGCCAAGTACTTTTCATACACCAGAGGTGGGAAATCAGGAGGTCCCTGGTCCTATCTGATTTATTATGCTCATATGAATTTTTGCTTTGTTTTTTCTTTGACTCTGAATAAATTATCTTTGACTCTGAGTAAGTAAACATCCGGCTATGTCATATTAATATACAGATGTCTGGTCCTTTGTAAAAACCATTAGATTATCTAAGAACATGAGGTCCTGATTCTTGTAGACCAGCAGTTATCAGAATATGAGAAGCAACTCTTCCCCATCTGTTCTCTGGTTCCTCACTACACACGCACACACACAGACACACGCACAGACACACACACACACAGACACACACGCACACAGACACACACACACGCACATACACACAGACACACATGCACACACACAGACACACACACACGCACACAGACACACACACAGACACACACACACACACACACACACACACACTTCATTCCCTACTATCTCCCTGCCTTGCCCCTAGAGGTTTTGTGAATTCCTCCAAACACACATGATACTGTTTACTCCTTTTAAAACCCTGGCTCACAAAAGGAATTCAATAGATGTTGTTGATGGTAACCCTTGACCTAGCACCTGATTATACACTGCTTTTCTTTTGCTCTTGTGAGACCTTTAGACACTGGAGCTTAGAGCTATGTGCTTGGCAGATGGTAAGAACACACACACATACATACATACACACACACATACACACACACTCGCGCATGCAAAATAAAACAAACAAAAAGCCTGTGAAACTAAATTGAAATTGTCTCTAAAAAGCCAAACTGACCTCATTTCTAGAGCCCTAGAGAGCTCACAGAAGCGTCCCCAGAAATATGGTTTTTCAAACTCCAAGTGCTATATAGTGCTGACACTGGTGGCTGAGCAAAGTAGCAAACAGCTGAGCATGGCAACAGAGCATGACAAAGTTTGCCTTGTCTCAAGTGGAGCCATACTTTTGATGGAAGGTAGTCACAAGACCTCCCATGAAACCCAATACAGCCTGGCTCAGTCCCCAGAATGAATCCAGGGCACCAGGCCATGTCCGTGGCCGCTGCAGGCCTCCCAGCCCTCCCCTGCCATGGCTTCAGGCCCTGCAGCTGTGAGAGGCCTTTCTAGGTCTTACTGCTGGAGTCTGGCTGCAGGAGCAGGGGTCAGGGGACTGGCTGCCTTCCCAGCACTGGGATGAAGGGACTGGTTTGTTTTCCTGGGATTGCATGACTGCACTAAGCAGGGCAGAAGTGTGTGCTGGGGAGGAACTGGCTCCTGGCTGGGGACAGGGACTCCTAGAAAGCCAAAAGAAGCCTGGGTAGCTTACCACCGCCCTGCAGGTCCACGACAGCATCCAGGTTATCAGGGATGGCATTCCAGGCATCTGCAATGAGCTTGGGGAAGCCAGGATCCATTTTCTTCTTAACCTCATTGTATCTAAGGAAAGAGACATGAAGAAGCAGCTGACCTCTTTGAAGCTTACCCCTCCCCCATCCTGGAGAAGAAGGTCCAGGTAACGGCACTGTGTGGGTCTGGGGAACAAGACCTGGCCCTTCAGAGGATCAGCAGGTAGTAAGTTGAGGGCCCGGAGTCTGGAGTCAGACCTGGGTCCAAATCCCACATCACCACTTCTTAACTGCATGACTTGGGAAAACCCTATAGGAGCAACAGTGTGATTGCTGCCGAGAAACACAGGCAAGGGTCTCTCCCACGTCTGGAACTCAGCGGGGATCTGGAATTGCTCCTGCTGCAGTCAGGGCACCAATGGACCAGAAGCCCAGAGATGGGGACCTGCCCCATAATTCTTTCACTGTGTGGTTTGAACAAATTGTTGCTTCTTCGTCTGTCAAGAAGAGATGACAAGCCATGTCTAGAAGTTAACCGTGGTTCAGACAGTGAGGTTACAATGCAATGTGAAGTGTGTGAGCTCAAGGTCATGAGTCACAGGGCGGACTGCATGCCACCCCAATCCTGGCTACAGCTGTCAGAGTGGGTGTTCTCCTAGGCCCAGCTTTAATTTAGGTAAATACCTAGGGCATTACTCAGTAAGTTCTACTCTATGGCTGTTGTTTTAAATTTCTTGGAGGACTTTTAAAATATTGCTGTCATTTTTACTCCTCTTCCCTTCAATCTACTAGTTATACCATAAATATTTAAAACTATTAAAGTAGTGTGCTCTCATTATGTGCCTGTGGATATCCCAGGAAGCAAGATCAAATGTTAGGTTCATGGATAAAATTTTCTAAGCAAATCTGCTTGGAGCCCATCCTGATGACAGCCATGCCTCCCTCCTCACAACCTCCTGACTGTCTCTCTTTTTTCCTCAGGGCCAGCCCTACCTCCTCCACTGGGGCTCCAACCACAGCTTACCCTAAAAGCTGTCTTCTATGGGGGTCCTTCCCCTTAGCCCTCACCCTCAAGAACTGCCAGAAAAGTCTTCATAACCACAGCTGCATCTGAAGATCACTTCTTGCAAAAGCTACTCCTTCATGACCAGGGTTTCCAAAACCGAGTTTCCCTAGCTCAAAAACTCCAGCATCCCCGTTCACCTGACCTCCACTGATCCCTCCACTGGCATCCGTAGGATTATGATGGCTCACAGATGTATGTCTCATACTCTAACTTGCTGTAGTTTCTCATTCTCCCCCTAGCACATGGGGCTGGGTTAGGAATCTACATGAGTACATAGATGAGGCTCGGAGAAATGAATCATTTTGCTTCCAAGTTCTTTTCATTCATGAAGAACTCAATGCTGTGGCTCTAGAAGCTGTTGGCTCTGGTGGGATGACACCCATTCCCTTTCGCTCTGTAATGATCACTGTTGGCCCACTATTTTGAAAGATTTCATATAAATTTCTTATCTACAGGTGTAGAAGGTGCAATATAGAACAGGTATACTATCAAACATTTTGTTCCAGTTTTTCTACATGTATCCTTGACCCACTTCAGCCTGATAACAGCATCTACATTAAATGAAAAGTCTAGGTGATGGAGTAGGGTATGGGCCTGGAAGGGAAGCAGCTGTTACTTAATTCCAATGTGTTTGAGCCTCATTCCCTCATTCCACTATAAGCTCCAGAAGTATACAGGAAGTGGTTGCTTCTGAGCCACCATCTCCCTAGCACCTAGCTCAGTGCCTGGCACATAAGAGACATTGAATATCTATTTGTGGTCTCAGTAGAAGCTTCCAAAGTGACCAGCTGGGCATTCCCTGGCATGCTGGACACAGCTGCTCATCTCAGTCCCTCAGGGCTTCCTTCTCCAGAAACTGTGGTCCAGGGCTTCTGTAGGCCTTGCTTCCAGACAGTATATCTCCTTTGGAAACCTAGCTTATAGCTGAGGATCAGTGCTTTCCACTCTAGGCCCTTTCCAGAAGGCTCATGAACTTCCTCAGTAAAGGAAAATATCTATTCTGGTGCCTGGATTTGAAGGCAGGCCTTGTCAGGGAAAAGGATTAGTAGGCAGATAACTACCTAGAAACCAGGAACACATTCCAGGGCCTCTGAGTCTGTGCATGTGTGCGCACTCCTGCTCACACAGGACATGCCTCTTCTTGCATGTGTACAAACATGGGATGTGTGGGAAAGTGACTACGGATGGACATTCTTCCCATACCATGCAGGCGAACTACCTGGGCTTTAGGATTCTGAGATTCACATGTCTATGACTCTGCCTCTCCTGTCCACCATGCTCAGATTTAGAGTGCTTGTGAATTTGAGAGGCCGAGATGCCATTTGCAGTATGTGGGCATACTAGGGAGTGTTCCGGACCTGTGGGTGGAAAGCCTGCTCAGCGATTTCCTGACAGACTGTTTTCCTTCTTAAGGTTTGAGATACCAATCAGCTTAAGTTGCTAAGTGCCTCAACAGTGCCTCCAGAATTCCCTTCCAGGGGCAGCTCAGGATATAAGAAGCTTCAGAATCAAGTGGGGGTAAGAGGAGCCAAGAGATGGAGGAGGAGACAGACGCATGGGAAAAGGCAGGATTGTTTCTGGATCCCAGACAAAGACCTATGTTGTTCCTGGGTAAGCTAGATAAAGCCTGGATGCAACGTCAGTCACAGAAGGACCATATGGATACTAGGAGGAAGGAAATGGAAACATCTAGAAAGCTTTTCTGCGCTTGCCCCCTTCCCTGTTGATCAAATGACTCGGAGGGCACAGTGGAGAGAGCACTGGGAGAAAAACAGGAAAAGCAGCTGTAAGCCTGACTCTAGGCCAGCACACTTATAGACTGGCAGCTTGTCTAAGTTCTTTAACTTCTTTGGGCCTCAGTTTCCTCATGTGGAAGTTGTAAAGGATTATAACCACACTCCTGAGTTTGGGCTGTATCGTTAGACACTGCTCTCTCTAATCCCTCAACCCGATCTTGGCCTCTCAGAGATGGACCCTTCTTTCCAGAGGACTCAGAGCAGAGCCACTTGCTTTGAAACTGCTCCCATACTAGTTTGCACCACTGCAGGACCAGCTGCAGATGTGCGGGAGGGTGACTGCTGCTTCCTGGGGCTCCTTTAGATGTTCTGTCTTCCTCATTCTTTCTGCTGCCTATCGTGTTCTCCAAGAGATAGAATGCCAGCACTCAAAGCCCATATGTCACTCCTTGGCGATGGGACCTGAAGTTAGTTATTTAACCTTTCAGAAACATTTCTGTATCTGTGAAAAAGGAAGACTAATAATGCACACCTCATCAGGTCTTACCACAACCTACGGCCCACAGCAGTAACAGTAGTGGCTATCACTTGCATCACCACCCCTCTCTGTAAGTCACCATACCATGGGGTTCCAGACTGGATATCCACAGGCCCAATCAGAAGACAGCTGAGAAAGGACATGGGATTCTAGCCGGAACAACTCCAGCAGTGTCCCAAGGAAGGAGCATCCATGGCCACTTCTCTGAGGGACTGCTGCCTAGCAGGCTAGAGACCAGCCGCAGTGTGTCTTGTCCCATGAAGCCACCCATGCTGCCATCCTACCCTGGACCCTCTTACCTCCAAAATTTGTCTCCAGCGAAGATGTATGTCTTCTTGTTCTTGCTCCAGTTAAAGGCCGCATCTATGCGCTGGACATCAGGGGGCAACCCCAGGCTGGTCAGGGGCTTGGGGTACCCTCGCTCCAGGGTGCTGGCAGAATAGACCCAGTACTCATTCCCTAGTGAGGGGGTAAGAGTGTGTTGGTGGCTGTGGGAAAATCTCCCAGGTCTGTCCCTCCCATCGTCTCTCTGGCACGGAGCCCACTGGAGCCAATCCCAACAAAGCACAGGCTGGGCTCATGTCTGGTCTCTGCCCAGAAGCAGGCCTCATATACAGGATCTTTGTTTGTTTGTTTGTTTTTCTTTGAGACAGGATCTCACATAACCTAGGCTGAACTTGAACTTCTGATCCTCCTGCCTTTCTACCTCCTGAGTGCTGGGGATTACAAGGAGGCATGCCACCACATACTTAATTTATGTAGTGCTGAAGATCAAACAAGGGTGTTGTGCGTGCTGGAGAAGCCCTTCTACCAACTGAGCTACATCCCCAGTCTATACACACAAGGTTTTATAAGTTGGCCATAAAATGTGCCAGCTTGAGCTGCATCATAAGACTCTGTCTCAAAACAAAAGCAACAAGTGGAAGAACTCATCAAAAATGATATTTGTGTTGGGTCTGCTCTAAATACATATTGAATTTCTCATGTCTATCCTGGGTTTGAATGCCACCCTACTGTTAAAAGAGATTTATGTTAAAAATATCTGTATTGAAAATAAGGGATTGGGGATGCAGCTCAGTTGGCAGAGTCCTTGCCCAGCATATACAAGGCCCTGGGTTTGATCCCCAGAATCAAATGTAACTGACTGTGGTGGCGAATTTTGTGATGTTAGTATTGGGGAGGTGGAGGAAAGATCAGAAATTCAAGGTCATCCTTGGCAATAGGGCAAGTTTGAGGCCAGCCTGGGCTGCATGGGACCTTGTCTAAACACAAATATACATGCCCCCACACACATATACACATCAATCAATTGATCTAAAAAATGAAAATCTGTAAGCACATTTTTAAAAGCTCTAACTAGGGGCTAGAGAAATGGCTTGGCAGTTAAGGGCACTGACTGCTCTTGCAAAGGACCCGGGTTTGATTTCCAGCACCACATGGAGGCTAACAACTATCCATAACTCCAGTTCCAGAGGAATTCAATGCTCTCTTCTGACCTCCACTGGCATTGCATGACACAGGTGCATTTATATACATGCAGGCAATACACTTATACACATAAAAATAATAAAAATAAATAAATGAACGTTTTAACTAAAGCAGTTATAGGAAACATGTTAGCACTAAAAGGAGATTTTTCTTTCCTCTTCTAGGAAAGAAATCAGAGGGTTGACAAAGAATCAAAAGAGAGGAAATGTTCCTTCCATGGGGAGAGCTAATTGACACCAAGTGTCTGGACCAGTCTCCACAGGAATACCACCCTTTGGGAAACAAAGTTGAAAGAAAATTCCCACAGGTGCCTGGGGACTGCAGTCTGGTAGAGGAGTGGGTCTGACCCCTCAGCAAGGTCCTCCCACACACCTGCAAAGAACACAGCCTTCTCCTCCTGTGGGGCCTCGTACACAGCATCTATCTTTTCTGGGAGCTCAGGCCAGAATGTCGCCACCAACAAGGGGCCCATGGGCTTGTCACGTGGTGTCACTGTCCGCCAAATAAACCTGCAGACCAGAATAGAGCACACCTTCAGTCACTCCTCAGATCTAAACATAAGTGTCTTCACAAGCCCACCTGGAAACATCCCAGTGATAGAGGGAGGCAAGGTCAAAAGAAGGTTGGAGAAAGACTGAGGAATAGGCACGCAAGGCTCTGCAAGATGCCGCAGCTGAGAATTTACCCCTCAGCTCCCACCCCACCTCCTCCAGGAAGCTTTCACTGATTGTCTGTGTGTACTGTGTCCTCCCTCAATGCCTCTTAAAACCACCAGCACTAAATGCCTGGGACAGCAGCTGTGTGTCTTATCTGTCTTGTTTGATTAGAAGTCAACTGACACAGGGGTTTGATGGCACTCCAAAGCATTTCCTGAATTCAAATAGAATGAATGGTATGCTTTGGCAAAAATAAGAGCTACATTTACTGAGGCCATACTAAGCGCCAAGAACTTTCCTTATAAAATGTAATCCGCATGATGATGTAATGTGACTCTCGACGGTCTGCCCAGTATCCATCATCTCTTTCCCTGCTAGCCTTCCCCTCAGCTCCACGTTTAAAATTACTTTTGCCACTGCTAGCCTCTGATGCCCATGACCCAGGAATCCTAGGAATAGATAAAGATTAGTCCCACCTTGGACTCAGTGGTTAAGAGCATTATCTGCTCTTGCAGAGGACCCAGGGTTGGTTCCCAAATTTACTGAGGCCATACTAAGCGCCAAGAACTTTCCTTATAAAATGTAATCCGCATGATGATGTAATGTGACTCTCGACGGTCTGCCCAGTATCCATCATCTCTTTCCCTGCTAGCCTTCCCCTCAGCTCCACGTTTAAAATTACTTTTGCCACTGCTAGCCTCTGATGCCCATGACCCAGGAATCCTAGGAATAGATAAAGATTAGTCCCACCTTGGACTCAGTGGTTAAGAGCATTATCTGCTCTTGCAGAGGACCCAGGGTTGGTTCCCAACACCAGTTCCAGGGGATCTGACACCTTCTTCTGACTTCCACGGGCATTGCATGACACGGGTGCACTTACATGCATGCAGGCAATACACATACACATACGCATAAGAAAATAAAAATAATAAATAAAATATTTTTTAAAAAAGATTAGCCCTACCTTTCATCATTGTGACATAACATAATAATCTGCAAAGATCACACTCAAGAATCACACAGTCAAATTAAAAAGACAATTTCAAAACAAAATGTCATAATGTTTTAATGTCTTACACTGGGCCACGTTCATAACTATCCTTAGCTGCATGTGGCTTGGATGGCAGGTTGGACATACCTAAGCCATTAATTCTCAGATTGCAGTCCCCAGACCAGGAGCACCAGCAGCACCTAGATACCTGTTAGAAATGCAAACTACAAGTCCTAAGATCTGTAAAACAGCCTCTCTGGCTTACGACTAAAAATCTGTTTGAACAGATTCTTCCAGATGATTCTGTTTGCCAAAGTTGGTTAGCTTAGCATTCTTTGGCATATATCTTACCTTGGCATGACAAGATTGAGCAGATAGAATGGTATCTTACCTCTGGAGATCCCATTCTACCTCCTACCTCACTCCACTCCTCTCCTGGATAGGGAAGCCTGTAGCCCCAACTGCCACTGGCAGCCATTTTTGGACTATGAGATGACCCAGTCTTGGCACACTGTCCATTCCAAGGATGTCAGTGGGCAAGGCAGGTCAGTGACCATCTTTTGCCTTTCAAAGCAGCCTTCCACTGGACACTACACCATGGAAGAGAAGTTTGTTTCCACTGTTCAAATTAGGGCTGAGGAGGGCGGTATCTATGTTACTTGCCACAGCACTCCATAGCACAGGGAAGTGTCATGATCCTTACTTGGCAAATGACACTCAGATAGGTTATGGTATTACAGCATTCAAATCTGGATCTGACTCTAAAATTCATATTCAAGTATCCTGTAGGCTGTCCTTTGGGACCTGGCACCAATATTTATACATGACAACTGCTGGATTATTTCCTGATTATTTCGGTGAGTCCATTAAACACACCCAAAGTCTTTTTAAAAGAAAGTAAGATGTGGCAGGTTGTAACTGGCCCTGGCCTAGGCCTAGGCTCAGAGCCATTTCTGATGTTCCCATTGCTTACAGATGCATGCATAGACATAGCTTCCACGGTGGGAAGTGCTCCAAGCTGGGAACTTCGCTGGAGAGTGAAAGCCAAGTTTACATCTCCTTTCCTTTGAGGCATTGTTCTAAGCACTAAGCTCATTTAATCCTTATGACTTCTCTATTTGATGGGGAGAATATCTTAGAGATGATGAAACTAAGGTACAAAGAAGATAATGAACTTGCCAGTGATCATACAACCTGTAGATAGCAAGTGCAATTTTCTACCTCCAGAACCCGTTTTCCCAGCTATTAAATTCTATGGATGGATGAATGGATAATTGGATCAATGGCTAGAAGAATAATGGAGGAAAGACGGATAGAAAATGATAGATACATAGAGTGATTAATCAATCAATTGATCACATAATACATGGGTGTGGATAAATGGATGAAGGTAGATGTGGATGGATTGATGGATTATGAACAGATAGATGGATGGCTAGACTCTTTAAGGAGTCCTAGATAATGTCTGTCATTACCCAGGGAGCTAGGATATTAGGGTGAATCTCAGCCCTTGATAATGACTGGAGTCTTTACTTACAGCATGAAGAACATGGCTTCCCCCATGGTCACTTGCTGTCTGTATATACATCAGTTTGGCCACTTGAGGTCAATGGTGTTCCAGGAGAGGGTCAACAGAAGACTGTTTTACTTTTCCCAATTCTTCCCTCTATCCTACTTTAGAATCATATTTTCACATGCCTTGCAATGTGACAACATGGTCCATGTTTTACACCTGGGGTAGGGTAGACTATGATGTTGGGCTTAGCCATGTTCTTTGTTTTAATCAGTGGAAGATTCTCAGCTGTGATGTGCATGGAATCTTTCAATGTGCTTGTGTGGTTTGACTCGGCCTCTTACACCCTGACATCCACCAAGAATATTCACTAACCCTAGGAGAATAAGTGACATGTAGAATGTACCTGGCCTCCAACTGTTGCCAAAAATCTAGATGCCTGGTGGACCCAAAGTAGGAGAGAGTGAAAGAACTGCATATGTGGTAAGCCACTGAGATCTTCAGGTTATGAGGACAGAAAAAAATCCTTATAACAGGTCCCCAGGGGTCCTCAGCAAGTGTTAGAGGCCAGAGGGTAAGAAAGACAGAGCCTCACTTACCGGTCCTTGAAGAAGAAGATCTCACCACGAATCTGGGCAATGCCATCAAAGACAATGTCCTGTTTGCAAATCTCAGGAGTGACAGGTCCCAGTGTAGGGGTGGGGCCAGTGCCAGTGTCAGTGTCTGCATCAGGGGAGGCCCCTGGAGAATAGGCAGATACCTGAACTTAGACTCTTCACAGCAATAAGGTTTCTCCCCACCAGGTTGGGTCCCAACACAGCCCATCTAACCTGCTAAGGTTAGAGAGAAAAAGACCTGTTTCAGTGTTATCTGAGCTTGGAGAGGGGAGCCAAGAAAAGCCAGAATCTTGTGCCACATCTTACTTTATGAACACTTTTCTCTGGCCTCACCTGGATGGGTTTTCTCTGCATCCAGGGAGATGGACATCACTATTATTCCCATTTTACAGACGTGGAAACTAAGCCTAGAAAGGCTGAGTAACTGAACAAGGATTCAAGCCCAGTCTCAGGTCCATAAGAGGCAGGGCAGGCTGGGGTCTACTCCAGGGGTACAGCACTTTCTTAAGGGTTAATTTTTTACTCCTCGTGATAAGCAGCCACATATGAGGAAACCGAGTTCAGAGAGGTAAAGACTTGCTTGATCCCCTGCAGCCAGTGCACAGCAGTGGCGGGACTATAATCTAGCATCTCCCTCTAGATCTCTGGCTCTTTCCCAAATTCAGAGTCCCTAAGTTTCCTCATTCAGGTACCAATCAGTATTCTGCCTGGTCTAGGAGCCACCCAGACCTTCATATAATTAATTTCCTCTTTTGAGGAATGGACTAACTTTTTAAATTCTAGCCTCACTGAAGTACAAACAGCAGACAATCATGAGTTTCAGGGCCTAGCTGTTTGTTATGTTTCTACTATAAATTAGAAACCATGAACTTTCACTCCTCCATTATTTCCATTCTCTGTCCTATAGTCAGCTCATGTGCCTGGATCCTAAACCCTACCTGGGTGCTTAAACCATGGTGACCTTGGGTCTTCTTAAGCCTCTGTTTACAGACCTAGCAAATGGAGAGATCTAGAAATGGGGAGTTAAGTGGGGCATAAACAACTAATGTTTAGAAAGGATAGGGCTGTCCAAGCAGACCATTGGAGCACTGGTCTGACATCCCAACATTAGGCACCAATTCATAACCCCCTGTCCTTGTCCCTGCCTATCCTGGCTAGATGGGATTGAGCATTCCCCACTTCTAAGGCCTCCTTCTAGGCCTCAGATCACCCCATCAAGCCCACCCCTAGAGGTTCCCAAGCTGGCATTTCCACTCCTGGGGCCTCCCTTCCAGGCTGCAGACCACCCCCACAATGCTCACACCCAGAGGCTTCCAAGCTAAAGCTTACCATAGAGCTCCTGAATTCCCTTGATATCATCATGGGACAAGCGGAAGTTCTTGGTGTAGGTATAGATGGGTGCCATCAAGGCCCCAGGGTCCTGTGAGTGTTCCAGCCCCATGGCATGGCCAAACTCATGGGCTGCCACGAGGAACAGGCTGTATCCTAAGGGCCAAAGCAGGGAAGAGGGGTTAGAATTCAAGAGAAAGGTGAGACTGGTGTCAGGGCTTGGCCTCAGTGAAAGAGATTTGGGAGAATCCCTAGGGTGGAACTAAAAGCCCTGGAAATGGTCTGTATTGATTTCTTCCTTGTGCTGTTGAATAGGTCAGCCAACATCCTCCTGCCTTTTCCTAGTACAGGTTGCACATATTATCAGAGAGGAGGATAGGAGGGTCTGCAGGTCCTCTGCTTCGAGTCCCATCTGTTAAGAACAGTGCTTCCTGGCTCTTTATGTCTCTCTGTAAAAAGTAGGGATACAACCTGTTGTTCAGGGTCTCCAAAGAGGGACAGCAATGGGGTTAGACTGGCCCTTGGGCTTAAGCTTTTTGGCCCAGGAAAAGCAGTATAAAGGAATGTGGCTCAATGAGCGAGTTCTTGCCTGGTATCCGGCAGCATTCCGAGCCCCACAGGAAAACAAAGAAACAGCATCCCTATTTGCATGGGTTGCCCAGGCTCAGTCACAGACCACAGGCAAACCATGTGGTATACCTTGTGGGTTTAATTATGTCCCACTACCACCAAAAGATACATTCAAATCCTGTCCTCAGCTGTCTAGGAATGTGATCTTATTCGCAGACGTAGTTAAAATGGAAGTTAGAACCAGGAGTGGTGGTATACATCGATAATTCCCTAGATGCTAAGGCAGGAGGATTGTGAATTTCAGGTCAGTCAGGGATATGTAGGGAGACTCTGTCTATAAATAAATAGTTAAAATGTTATTACACTGGAGTGGAGGGGTCATGAGTGCAATGTGGCTCATGTCCTCCTAAAAAGAGAGACATGGAGACAGGTACAGACACAGAAGGGACAAGACTGTGTAATGACAGGAAAACAAGGGGGTGACGCAGGCTCAGAAGGAATGTGGCCCCGCTAACACTTTGGTCTAAAACGTTCAGCCTCCAGAATCAGGCAAGAATCAGTTTATGTTGTTTGAAGCCACCATTTTATTATACTTTGGTCATGGCAGCTTGAGGGGACTCCAACGATCACATGAATGGAGACCCCACCTTTTGGCAGATACAACACCATATACCCTAGCAGAGCACGCAGGATAAGAAAAACTCCTTTGGCCAGCTAATTCACCAAGCACCACATCATTTTAGTAATAAGAATACAAGTAATAGAAAGAGAGTCCTAATAGCATTAAATATCAGTTTGGCACAGCCTAGAGTCACCTGAAGAAAAGAGTCTCAATTGAATAACTGTCTTTATTAGGTTGGTCTATGGGCATGTCTCTGAGAAACTGTCTTGATTATTAATTGATGCAGAAAGACCCAGCCCTGGGATGTGTATAAGAAAGCTATCTAAGCATGAGCCTGGGGGTTGAGGCAACCAGAGAACGAGCCAGTAAGCAGTGTTCCTCCATGGTTCTTGTCTCCAGGTTCCTGCCTTGAGTTCCTGCCCTGACTTCCCTTGGTGATGGATTGTGACCTAGAAGTGTAAGCAGAATAAACTCCTTTCTAAGTTGCTTTTGGTCAGAGTGGTTTATCAGTAACAGAAATCAAACTAGAACAGGAACTCACTTAATTCTGGAAGACCCTGGACCTATCCCCTCACCCGACCATTGTAAGCTACCTGGGAGCTACAGCCCAGGGCTGCTGGGCCCTGAAACCCTGCTCCTGGTACTGATCACAGTAAGGTCATCAGCTATCTCCAGGTCTCTCTCACCCCAGCCCAAGTGCAGAGAGATGTCTTTCAGGACATTTCTATACTGGAATGGGAATGAGTCGGAGGGCTGAGCAAACTGTTCCTGACTGAGACATCTTTGCTAGGGTCAGCCCTGCCTAAAGAGGTAACTGCAGTGAAGGGCAAGAATGGAAACAGGGCTAGTTCCCACACAAGATCAGGGTGTGGTAGTGGGATCTTCTTTTAGAGACTATGTCTCTTCTTAAGCTGGCTGGGCTTAAGCAGGGAATGGATCTTCACTGAGTAGGGTCTCTGCCCAGATGGATAGGTCTAGAAGTACTACGTGGGTGTCTAGGCTGCATTATCTGTGCTGGAGATAGTCTGTGCCTCAAATATTCCAGCTCAGGTGTGGAGGGATGTCCAATGTTTCAACCCAAAGGCCAGGGCTTTGTACCTTGGTCAGGGCAGAAACCCCACTTCCGGTCATCATCATAGTTAGTGGTGGTTGCGCACCACATCTTCCCATCGCTCCGGCCAGCACTGGTGCAGCTCTCATGCTTGTTGCCCAGGAAGGTGAAGGGGAAGACACATGGGGCGCCTTCCGAATTCCCACCCACAGTGGACATGGCTGTAGGATGAAGAACACAGATCAAAGAGCAGAAGATGGTTTGAGGCCACCATCAGGGAATAATGGCATTAGCAAACATTCACTGGGTACCTGCTCCATCCCATCTCAGTCCCACCAACAAACCTACAAAGTAGGGACCCTATGTTATCCCCATATCATGGGTGCAAAGATCAAGATTTGAAGAGCTTAAGAAGCTTGTTGAGCAGATACTGCTAGGAAACATCAGCGTCAAGGCTCAAATCCAGGCAGCTGGGGTCTAGAGTCCAGAGTTGTCACGGGACCCCTGTAGATGGGATCAGAGAGGCCAGACGCGCAGGGGGCTGGGTGGGCTGATGGTCTCAACACACTGCTCTAGAAGGTGAACCTCCGGGTCTTGCAGAGACCAACCTCTGAGTTAGCTGCAGGAAGCAGGCTAAGTAAACACAGGTTGAAAGGAAAATGACAAGAAAAGGAGAGAGGAGAGACTTAAGGTCAGTAGAAGGGAAGGGGACACAGTGTCAGAGAGGCTGAAAGACAAGGGGTGCAGGCTGGTCAATAGGGTCCTAAGCAAGCCTGCTTGGTCAGGCATCAGCAGAGCAACTGCGCCAGCTGCTGATAGATACTCTGTTCTGACTTCTGTACCCATGAGCTACCAACTTCTTGGAATTCTGGCTAGCAACAGATCTTGGGGAAAGGATGCTGGGGGTGGACAGGTGGCTATGAAACAGCAGGGGGCTGGCCTCTGAAGGGAACAAGGAGGCAGTGATACCCACCGGTCTCCGGGCAGAACCCATACTTCTTGTCTCGGTCATAGTCCTCAGTGGTGCCACACCAGCGATACCCGTCCGTGCGGCCCTCTGTGGTGCAGCTGTTGTAGGCGGTGCCCTGGAAGCGGAACGGGAACTTGCAGGGCTGTCCATCAGCATTGCCACCCATGGTGAACAGGGCTGGGGAGGGAAGAGAGGGTAAAGATGCCATTGAGAGAGAGACATCTGCCTGGGCAGAGCTGGCCAGTCACCCACCTGCTAGTTCATACCAGTCAAGTTGTTGAATTATTCATTAAAAGCAATGTCCATTAGTTAGTAAAGAGCTGCTTCTCTGAGCCCAGAGAGGACCTCTGTCTCCCTGGCCCACCCAATCCCTCTCACGGATCTAATGGACACCAAGCCATGAATGGTCAACACCTGGCACATAGGAGGTTTCTAGAAGCCTGACCAAGTTCCAAGGTTGCTTCCCATTCTGTATGTCCATGGCCAGAGGGACTGAACATATACTATCCACCTGGGCACAGCCATAAGAGTCTTTCCATTTGATACACAGGGAAACTGAGGCTCACAGAAAGATCGTTCCAGGACTGCTTATGGTCACATAAACAAGGAAATGAGTGGAGGTCATACCTGAACACGACAAATCACATTACTCTCCATCTTTTTCGAACTCTGTTATACACACACCCCACACGTGAGCACACACGTACATGTGTATATGTCACAGAAAAAGCTTCAGTCATTTCAACCCCAGGCTCTTTTCTGGGAAGCACTGCTGCTGTAGTCCTCAAAGGAGGAAGAGGAGGAGGGGAGGCAGCTAGTGTCCCAGCCTCCCACTCTGATGACCCCAGAACGAGGCTGTGACTAGAGTGTATGATCTGGGTCAGCCTTTCTGTCTTGGGCTGTCCCAAGGTTTCCCATCCTTTTATCCACCCCAGAGCTACAAAATGGTGTAGCTCTGGAATTGCCAACCAGCAAAACCACAAGTGCGTAACAAGGACCATCTGTGTACAGTGGCGCCAGAGGTGACCTCACCAAGCCTGTTAACTCTGTATAGGCAGAATGGAGTCCAGACCCTGGCCTCTTAGCACAGGCCTGAGGGGTCTCTATCTTCATTTCTCTGCTCTCCCCAAAATGGGAGGCCCTGTCCTAGAGTGCCAGGAATAGTGGGACCTAAGAAAGAGACAAGACTCAGTCCAGAGACCTTGGTAATTCAGAGTGGGGAAGGGTTAAGTGTTAACGCTGATCCCACCAGCTGTATTTTTACCACCCAGGAAAGCCCATCTCCTCTGGGACCCACCCTCCTCCTAAACAGAATGGGAGGCAGCACACACTGACTCAGCAGTCAGGAGGGTCTGAGTAACCAGAATCACTACACTAAGTCCAAACACGTGTGCATTGTGCGTAGTTGTACCTGGCTAAGGACCAAGTAAATGGCCAGTGTCCAACACAGAGGAAAAACCTTCCAAGCTTATGAAACACGGGGCTATTTCCATATTTATCAGTGTATCCTGTTCTGACCGAAAGACTGACTCATGAAAGAGTTAATGCCTTTCCCCCAAGTTCGTACTGGGAAATGCAAGATACAGACTTTTATTTAAATATCTCTGACTTATTAATTGTCAATGGCTTGAGATTTTAATACAGTTTAGCTTAGGTAATAAAAATACAAACATGGCTGGGGTTTGTAGCTCAGTGGAGAAGGGCTGGCCCAGCATGCGTGAGGCCCTGGGCTGGATCTCCAGATCCGCCTCCCCTCCAAAAGAGGAAAAGAAAAGCTGTAAACAGGAGAACAGTTAGCGAGTTCTTTTCCCTTCCCTTCTTTCAAGATGGTTAGGGCCAGTGTTGTATCATCATGGGAACAGGGAGGTTCACAAACGTACAATTATGACCCCCCAAACTGACAGTCCCTAGTCCATGCAGACTAAAGAGTCTTTATGGACTAGGAAAGAAACTAATATTTAGACAAATGTTTATATTTTCAGCATTCTCCCCAAATTTTCTGGGCCTCTGATGTCTAGAACCATCAAACACGGTATCTTCAAAGAGTACAAAGTCCTGTGTATTTTTTAAAAAAGATTTATGATTACGAAGTGTGCCAGGGCTATTTTCAAAATGGACTGAGTTTGTCTACAACATCCTTACTCTCTTTTACAAACTCATCTCCCTAGATGATGGAAATCTCTGGAAAAATTAAGTTTTAAGTACAGATGAAGAGACATACAAATACTGAGCGAATCCAGATGTTTCTGTTGTGAAACAGAAACAGAAGGCAGAGTCAGACAGCTCCTGGGACCACCTACAATGTCACTCACTAGCACGGTGGGGCCAGTGCAGGAACGATGGCTGATATTCTGAGATTGGAGTCTCTAGTTGGATCAGGTACCAGCTTGGGCTGTGTCCTATCCCTCTCCTACAGCTAAACTGTCCATCTATATCCATGTTCTCTCTCCTTTTGCCCTTCTGCCCTTGAACCCTGGGTCTTAGGTGGAGCATCCAGAGAGAACCCCTGGATATTTTAAGAAGTCTAAGGTCGTTCTCATGTGTGTTAGAAAAGAACAATTAACACATCAAACCCTTGATTTCACAAATATTACTGTTAATTGTGAGACTTAAAAACCTGAAGTAATTAAGCAAATATGAAGTAAGCACATATGGTCATGCACCTAATATAACATTTAAAACACAACAGACCATATGCATGAAGGTTGTACCATGTGGCAGTGATCCTAGAGGATCAGAGTGCCTAGTGGCATTGCGCCCATCTCAACTTGTGTAAGGACACTATGTTGACACAGTGATGATGCATGTGCACAGCTACACATTTCTTGGAATAGGTCCCCGTTGTTAAGCAATGCATGGCTGTAACATTCGAAGAAGTTGCGATAGTGAAATCAGAATGGCGGGCTCTGACCCAAGAGCACTGGGATGAGGAGATGCCGCTGACTGGCCTGTGGAATGTGGAGGGTGTAGGCACAGCGGGGAGCCTGTGGGGGCTGGAGGCTTAAGTGGGCTAAGGGGCTGGGCCAGGGTGGATGCTCACCTTCATGGGGGCAGAAGCCGTACTTGCCATCCTTCTCGAAGTCATAGGTGGTGGAGCACCAGAGGAAGCCGTCACTGCGGCCAGTGTCAGTGCAGCTGTTGTATTCTCGGCCACTGAACAGGAAGGGGAACTTGCAGTACTCCCCATCGGCATTCCCGTACTTCACCCGGACCACTGTAGGGGACACAGAGCATGGGGACTGGCCTCTCCAGGCCTTTCCTCAGACACTGGACTGTGGCCTCACATTGGACTATGACTTCCCTTCTCCTCCCATCGCCCTAGTACCATCAGAGCAAATGAAGGGCTCAAGATCACCAGGAACGTCATGGTCTTCGTTGTAAGGGTACAGGGAGGCACACCAGTGGTCAATCTCTTACCTTGCCCTTCCCCCAGGGTCCACAGCTCATCATCATCAAAGTGAGAGTCTCCTCCAACACCAGTGCCTGGGGCAAAGGCATGCGCCAGGAGCCCGTCTTTGCCATCAAAGGGGTATCCGTCTCCGTGTTCTGAAACCCACATTGGTTCTCAGCTTTCAGCAGCCCCATCTGAGTCCTGAAGCCCAGTCATACCCCAATCCATGTTTCTCTATCTAGCACCTGCCCCCTTCTCCTTTCCATTGGAATTACCCAGGGCAGGGAAAGCAGGAAGTCAGTGGAGGCGCTCTGAAGTGGCTGTTGCCATCCTGTGGCCCACACCGCTCCTTCAAGTCCATATTGTCCTTTGCCTGCACCACTGACCTTTGCTGTCTACGCTGCTTCCTCCCCTGCCCACTTCCCTCTTCGATCTACCACCAGTATCTACACCACACCACCTGCCTTCAGGTCTGTGCTCATGCCAGGCTTACACCACCAGTTTGCACAGCGACTTGACCCAATGGTCCATTCCACTTAGTCCTAGGTGGCTATTGGGACCAACTGCGTTTTAGTTTTAAAAATCTTTTGTATTAACTTAAATCCAAGTAGCCAAATTCACTGAGGGGCTCCTGGAGGGCACAGTACAGCACTTCCTTCAGGCTTCACTGCTGGCAGGAAACACTGTAGTGTATCCTCTGCTCTCATTCTTAACGGTTTGCCAGTATCTGCACGTCATCCCACTGACTACATACATCTAAACCACCTCCAGTGTCTACACCTGCTGCTGCACTCAACAAAGCACCCTCAGTATCCCCACACATCTCTAAAGTCCACATAGCCCCATAGTCTCTATGCTGCTCCACTGGCCAGCCCCCTTCTGCCTACCCCAGCGGCCAAAGTTGATCATGATGTCAGCTTCCCCATCATGGATGCGAGAAAAGCGTAGTGGAGTCACATCGCTCCACACTTGTAAGGCCCGAGCGAAGGCATCATCCACTGTCTCAGGATCCAGGTCGGGAGTGTAACCAATGATTCTGGAAGGAGTAGAAATGCATGTGATTGTGCAAGTGTGTGCATATATGCAAGTATGAAAATGTAGAGGTGTAATGTCTAAAAATGTGTGTGTGCACAGTGTCTGTGTGTCCATGAGTATGCATCTGAATAAGTGTTCTTGCGCAGGTCAATGTGTCAAGCAGAGCTCACTGAGAGAACAGTCCTCTCAGAATACTTTGATGTCCCACTGTAGTGATCCCCCCTTAAGGACAGTAGCACTCTGCTCACTAATAGTTAACAGGCTCCTGTCACTTGGCTCACTAAGAGTTAACAGAATTCTTTGGACTTAGTTGATGTAGAAATTTGAGAAGAGGACAGTCTGCTCCCAGGATGCTGGGAAGAAGACCAATTAGAAAGCTGTCTCTGAAATGCCAGGGCAGGTGTAGAGCCCCCGACCCCATGTCTCCACATACATCAAATAGGTCTGTAACTAGGCCAGTTGCCACAGCCTTGAACATGCTGAGCTTCCTTTCTCATCATTATGGGAAAATCCCCATGTGTTTTACACCACTTGAACACTTATCATATGTAAACTGTATGTGAACTTCAAATGGTGAGCTTCCAAGAAAGACTCTCAGGAGGGCAGTGAAAACACTCTTGAGTGGACAAACACTGAGGGTCTCCTGGTCTGATTTCAGTTTTGGCAGGCTTCCACATTCCAGGAATCCTAGACTTTTCATCTCTCACTTCTGTCTGGGACAAAGGCACCAGGGACATTAAATAATACATTATGGGACACAAGGCAGAGATCTCACCCTTGGAATTCAGCACTAGTCATACAGAACAAAGCTCTTGGACTAATTAGCAATCAATTATAACAACACTATAAGACAATAACCCAATTAGTGCCTATAATTGAGTGTCCTCTGCCTGTCCCAATGGCACAGATGATAACAACAATCACCAACATTTATTAGACTATTGACTTATGCCAAACATTATAGAAGCCCTTGATTTACAAGTAATCTTAACCATCCCTATGAGAAAGGGATTTCTTAGACCTGTTTGATAGACTAGAACACCAACACAGAGTGATAAGAATAAGAAACCCAGTGCCCAGTGCTTAGTGAGCATAAGAATCAAATCTAGGTCTACCTGGCTCCAGTCACCAAGAACTCCATATGCAAAGTCCCTGGAAGCCCAGATCTCATGGGTCCCCTCAGTGAGGAAGGCAAAGCCCAAGGGGATTCATGTCCCTCAACCTGTTGGCCCTGCCTCCCCAACCCCTCCTTAGCACCTGTATGTGATCTGGTTCTTGTCCCACTTGGGCTTGCGGGGAAAGAAGTTATAGTTGGCCACATCTGGGTTGCCACAGCGTGGCTTCCTCATGGTCTCGATGGTGTTCTGGTCGAGGTCACCTGTCTGAGGCAACCCAAAGAACTTCTGCATCTTCTTGAGGGTATCCTTAAGCACAAACAGGTTGCAGTTCTCCTTGGGGCAGCCATAGAAGGTGTTCAGGTATTGCTGAAAGAGACAAGCAGCCTCAAAGCTAGGAGCCACGTTGGGATGTCAAAGTACACAGCCCCAGCTAGTCCCCACATAACCTGTAATTGGTCAGAGCAGAATCCCGGAGGCTAAGAGCACCAAGTGGAGTCTTAGGTTCCCAAACAAGTTCTGTCACTCACTAGCTGGAAGGGCATAGCTACTACCTTTCATTGTCTTGAATTGAGTACATGTTAACTTATTTACTGCTTACTATGCACATTGTTCCTATCATACAGAGGAAGAAACTAAAAAACAGGCTAAGAAATTTGTCTAAAATCGCTCAGCTCACACATGAGACGTCTGGATCTGGTACCAAGCGATCTTGCTCCAGAACCCTCATACCCCAGGACCTATCTCACGGAGTCATCTGACAGTCTTAGGCACATATCATTTTCCTCCTTTTTTTCTTATAAAGAGGTTCAAGGGTTGTGTGCATGGGTTTCAGTAGCAGACCTGAGTTCAAATCTGTGTCTGCCATTTCTAAAGAGACTAGTCTTGTCCTTCAAGGGATCTAACCAGAACTAAATATGCCCCTACACAAGTTCAGGCATCAACCACCTACTCAACAAGTGTTTTTCGATGGCCTTCAGAGTGCCAAGTCCTGTGCTACTGCTGAGGTGAGCTACTGACAAAGACAGGCACTTCTAGTCTGTACAGACATTTTATAAAATACCTCCTTTGGGGCAGTCAGCAAAGGGGGGAAAGTGGGGTATAATCATAGCAACTGCTATAATAGCGATCATGGCTAATGCTTACTGCTGCTTCCCAAGCAGCATGTACCCTTCAAAGTGTCTAAAAGCACCTGCCCATTTGCCATGAGATGAGTGCCATTAAGAGCCTCAGTCTTGGGAGGAGAGAGCTTGGGTGGGGGAAAAGTCGAGATGGATGGATCCAAACCTCGCTGAGAAATGCATATTTCTGAACATTAATACACATGTATACCTGGGGGCTGTATTGTAAGAAACACAGTGCCAGACCAGAGAGACCTCCCTTTCAGTGATTGGTCAGAGTGATCCAAGAAACTCCCAAAATAACAGAGGCTACTGCCAGAGCTCTTGGTTATCTACCAGAACTGGAAGATAAGACCCTACTGCTGAAGACAGGACATACTTTGGACATAGGACTTGGAGCAATGGAACAGGAACTGACCTGTAAGTCTTCTACCTGAAGTTTAGCTCTCATAATTCTAGAGGATACTATGCAAGTTGCTAAGGGAGAAAATCAATCAATAGTCCAACCAGCCCTAAGGCCCAATAACCATAACGACCAGCATAGCAAACTACCTGTATTGGTGTAGTCGTGGCACTATTATCTGGAGAATAATTAACAGCTATCTAATTGAACTTAAAGCCCTCTCAGTTGGAGTGAACTCATGGGTGGCACTGTAAACACAGCCAAATAAACATGGCTGGAGAGGTCATAGGTCCTAGAGAAAACCCTATCTTGTCATATCTCTAGACAAATGAAATTTCTTACCATATGCTAAATGTGGATCCTTTTATTTACAGGTAAGTATACTGTACACCACTCATCAAAGAAGCTCCTTTTTGCAACAGACGGAAACTACTGTAGAATCCCACAACTGATCAGACCAAAAGAATGTATGTCTGAGAGATGCCCAGTCCTAGGTGACGTATCTACAGTGGAACCTCCACACCTAAGACTCATGGAACATAGCAGAATTGGGGGGTAAGAGAGAAAAGTAGTGCATCCCTCAACTCTCACAAGTGATGCTTCCTTATACAACAAAGTGTGATGCACACAGAAGGCCATGACTGGCCAGTTTTTAAAGAATGAGAGACTGCAGAGTGTGTGTCCCTGGATAGGACTCCTATATCAAACCTCTGCGCATGGCTCAGGGACCATTGTGGAAGAGGGAGTGGAAAGAGTGTAAGAGCCAGGGTTTGTCCACGAACTCTGGGAAGCAGAGGCTTTAAGGCCACTCGAAGCTTGCACATGTAAACTTGTGGCAATGGTGGCATTGAGCACAGGACCCATGCCAACTCAATCAGGCAAGGGCTCAGAGGAGAGAAGGAAATGGGTGGTGGGTTGGCCCTAGTCTGGGAACTATTGGAGACTGATTACTACTGGGTGAGGGAGAGTAGACAGGCCTTACCAACCATCTCTAGATAGGCTGAGTAAACTTCAGTGGGTGAATTTGCATTGAAGGATATCTGTATACAAACACTTGACTGGATAGGACTTAACAGGTATGGTGGAATACATGAGGTCCTGTGGAGGGGGTGGGGGGCATGGATAGGGGAAGAGGTCTAAATTGGATTAAGAACTGTCCTATGAAATGTACAAAAGCACAATAAAAAAATTTTTTTTAAAGTGTTTTGCTCTTCAAAGAAACAGAGACTCCAGAAGTTAAAGCAGTTATCCAAGATCACCAGACCAGATGGTTAATGAACTCCTTGATTTGATTTGCAGGCAGGTACCATAAGTTCAAAACCCTCTTTTTTCCTCGTTAATTTGTTTTGTTTTAGGATAGTTTGACTTCTAAGCCCAGGCTGGTCCTGTCTCAGCCTCTCCAGATCTAGATTTACAAGTGAGCACCATTATGACTGGCCAGAGGACCTCTTATTAACTCTAGGCAACATGGGCTTCCTTAGGCTGCAGAAGATCAGAACTCAGGTAACTTGTCCTGCTCCAAAACTCAACCCTCCATACCAGGGACAGAAATATATCACTAATGCCAGCTAGCTTCAGACCATTGGGAAAAGTAGCCATCTAAAACCTTCAAGATCTTCCAACCCATCTGCCAGAGAAGTTGTTGGCTCTAACACGGAAAGTTAGGGAAAGAGGGCTGGGGTCCCTTACAGCAGGGGCTTCCTGGGTGACTCTAGGGCATGTGATTCTGGGTAGATTGGGGAGGAGGCTAGCTGGAGGGTTGGAGATGTCCAGAGTGGTTGAAGCAATAAAGGCACAGACGTCCTGTGGTCTGACAAATCTTCTAAGCATCTAAGCCCATGGTGGGAGGTGCTCGGTGGCAGAGTGTATGGCCTTGCAGCTGCCTTCCAGCCCCGCTTATGCAACCATGTGGCCAGACCAGGATGCCCTAGAGCCAGGCGCACGCTCACACAACAACATCTGAGCCGCAGCTTGGGAGCCCAGCCAGGAGGGAGGTCTTGCTGGCCGCTGGCCGACCCCAGTCCGGCTCAGTCCGCCCCCGCCCCACGCGCCAGGGCCCTCCGCAACCGCTCCTCCAGCTCGCCTGTTGTCTCTTTCTGTCCTCTGACCTCCGGGAAAAGTTCGAAGAAACAATGCTCGACCCTCCTGGCCAACTGGTGCCTTAAGCCAAGGGGGTGGGGGTGGGGGAGGAGATGCGCTCTGCTCCCCTCTTGCCCCAATCATTTGTCGCAGGATCCCTTCCATCATGTTACCAAGGGCCTGTCTCTAGATGTGTGCCAAGGATTCTCAGAAGTTTGTCAAGCCCCGCTTTGGCTTTTTATGTGCTAAGGTTTATGCAAATTTTATGCCAAAGTACACCGTCCCACCCCCACCCCCCATTTTCAAGAGGCCCCCCCAAAGTGGTTTGCCAAAGGCCTACCCAGACGCCTGCCAAAGGCTTTGTTGCCAGCTCTGCAGATACGTCCAAAAGTCGTTTAAAAGCCCGCCCCACACCAAATCCCCTAGATAAGTAGACAAAGTCTCCGTTATTCACAAAACAGCCCTTTCTAGACTTTTTCCTGAGCACCCCCTACTTCGCTCATTCCTTGCCCCCTTGAATGCACCCTAAGTTCTCCAAGTTACTTATCAAAGGTTTTCTCTCCCCAACGTTTACAAAAGCCATCAACTAGCCAAAGATCCCCACAGATGTTTCCTGAAGCCCCTCCCCATGTTGTGTGCCAGATAGTGGTGCGGGGGGAGGGTGGCCCTCGTCCGCAGCCTCCGAAATTTGTCTAAAATTGGCTGGATGAGCTAGTGTAGCAACTCACCACTGCCAACTCTTTGTCCGTTTTGGGGGTGACATCGCCAGGGAACTTGATGATGGGCGACGGTGCGGCGATGGCGCGACCCAGAAGGCAGCTCAGGACGCAGAACGCCCGCAGAGCGCTGGCGAGGGCTCCCCATGCTCCTTGTGCCTCCATTGCGGTGCTCCCGGGACCCCGAGCGTCACCCTGGGGTAGCTGGCTCGGTGCGTACCGGCGTCCGGGACTAGCTGGTGCCTGTCCGCACCGCGTTTCGAGGGAGCCCTAGTCTGTTGCCTCGGCTTTGCCAGGCTCAGGAGCTCATGATGGGGTCCCGAGTCCCAACCCCCGCCGCCGCCGCCGCCGCCGGTGCTCGCGGGTCCTGGCAATCCCTTTGTATACTTAAAGTCCCAGATGCACAGCCTTCAGCCACCACTGGAGGAAGTCTGGATGCAGCGGAAACAAGGGCGGGTAGCAGCCAGATGTGGTCGGCGGGGCTGGGAGCGCGCTGGCAGTGCGGGCAGACGGGAGGGGGGAGGAGGAAGGGGCGCAGTCGGATCCGCCCCTCCTTGCCCCCCCCACTCCCCCCCCTCCTCTTTTCTCCTTAGCTTTTTTCCGCCTCCTCTTCCATCCTCCTCCATCCCCCTTCCGCCTCCAGCTCCCAGGACCTCCTTGTTCCCTAGAAGTGCCCTCTTTCCACCTCGCTTCTCCTGCCCTGCCACCCCACCCCGGCACCCGGCTAAGGACCCCTGCTGCTAAATATGTAGTGCTGTCCTTTTGGGCTCTTCACGTGTAACGGTTTGGGGGTCACTCAGGATCAGGGCACCCTGCACTCCCCGGGGCAGTCCGAAACGTGGTTAGGGACAAGATGGGTAAGGATACTGATAAGTGCTCAAAAGCAGAGAGTTTACGTGTTCAGCCACGGAGGCATGGAGAAGTGACATGACTAGAGGTGCAAAGGAGGCAGGATGCAAACTAGGAGACTGCAGATAGCCCTCCTTCCCTCCTTCCTTCATTTAGCAAGGAAGGAAGCATTTACTTGGCCTGAGTGAACACAGCACTCCACACGGAGGAATGTCCCCCTCCCTTTCTCAGAGAAGACAGTTGCATAAGTGCTGGGACCTCCAGCAGGCTGTGGGAGCCTGAACCTAGCCCCTGAACCAATGTGGACATTCCAGGAAGGCTTCTTGGAAGAAGTGACTTATGAGCCGACACCTGAGGAGCTACATTGGGGCTCTGTGTGGGAGCAGGACAGACTTTCCAACAAGATACACCAGAGAAGGAAATTCATCCTGTCCTAAAGGTAGAGACTAACCCACTGAGGGTGTGCCAGCAAGGACCAGTCAGGGAAGAGAGGAGGTGGGATTGGGGTCAGCTGGGACCAATTCAAGGAGTATGGTCACCTCAGAGATAGCTAGCAGCAGCCTGCCAGGAGGCTCTTGAAGATCATGGGTTTGGGAAACCTCTATGGCTTGGGTCTCGGAGGGCTTCTGACAAGTTCGGGCTTGCCCGGCAGGCTGTGGGGTGGGTTTGCCAGAATCAGATGCAAGGAGTCCCTTGGGACCAGGATCTTCAGGAGAGAGCTGGGCTATCTGCGTGGGCAGCCCGGGGTTTGGTGGTGGCCATGAAATGGGGGCCGTTTGGGGAGGGGGTTTACTTGCCGGCCCAACCCTATTTGGTTCCTAGCCACCAGTCCTGCGGATAGCCAGAGAGCCAAGTTGGAGAGCCGAGAACAGGGAGTGAGAGTGGAAAAAGTTGTCTCACTAAAGCAGGGGTTGCAAACCGGTGGCCTGTGGGCTAAATCCAGCCTGAACAGCGTTTTGAAATTTGGGAAACTTTATGTAAAAATCAGACTTTCTGGTTTTCTTTTAAAAATTGCCCCAGATGGGGATGCCAGTTTCCATATGATAGCCATTAACTGAGGCTAGGTAGACCTCTGCAAATGAGACAGGGGCTTTGGTTGCCTCAGACCTCGCTGCTCTCCTTCATCTGGCAGGGGACTTGTGGTTGTCACTTTTGCTCACTTGTATCACCTACCTGTGTCAGGTAGACAGATATTAGCAACCTTGAAGGACAAAGACTGGACCCCTCCTCATAGACCACATTTGTAAAACCAAGAACTGGAGCTGCAGGATTCTACTATTGGGACCTGAATCATATCTCTGGCCCTGGGAGGGGACATAACATCTAGAGACATCCAGAACTGTCCAGTGATCATTACTTGAAAACTAACTAAAGCTGGTTCCAGAAGCCCCAAACCTTGTACAATTCCTGTCCAACAGAAGGCTTCAAGGACCATTGGCTCCTCCCCAAAGCTAATCCAAATGGACTGTCAATTTCCTGGGAAGGAAAACACTGGTCAGGAAAAGCTATCTGTTCTCTACACTTTAGAAACAGTATAATATGTAGGTTGGTACAATGGTCTCTTTGGCCATTACCCATCTCGCCCCTGGAGAGCATGCATTCTTTTACAATCAACTCTGTCTTCAACACTACACTCTGTGTGTCTCTTCTGAATTCTTTGTACAGAGATCATAAAGACCAGGGAACCCAGGGGAGGCCAGAGTGAGATTTTAGTGACACCTGATTTCAGTTTCAACCTTTTCTGAAAGTCTTTGTAGGACGTAGAGCTTAAACTAGCACACTTTTGGGACTCTTCTACAGGAGGGAAAGCAGTGCTGGGATTGAATTTATGGAGGTTGGTTTTCTCCTTCTACCATGTGGGTTCTAGGGATCAAACTCAGGTTGTCATGGTTGGCAGCAAGCACCTTTACCTGCTGAGTCATCTTGCTGGCTCAAATTGAGGTTCATTACAGGAGTAAGGAGACGTGGGCAACTCACGAAGAGCTCTACAACCAAAGAAATTTCCTTTCCACCAGCCATCGTTAATCCCACTTACAGAATCCTCAGGGAGGTGCAGGGTCTTCCGGATCTCCCATGCAGCCTCATGAGTCACTCCTGAGCCCTGGTACAGCACAATGTGTACTCAGCTATCTGTTCTCTAGACTTTAGAAACAGTATAACATGTAGGTTGGTACCCACTCTCACCCTCGGAGACCATGTCACCCTTTGTTCCTCCACAAGGGCTCACTCTTGTGCAGGTCTCATGGGTAATCACAGCTGCTCCGATTTCAAGACAAGACAGTCAGACTGTGCCCAGAGGACAGCATTCCACAACAGTTGGTGACCACCAGTATCAGAAGGAGGAAAGGAAGGATTCTCTGGGGTCTTCCTGGAGATTGTGGCCCTTCAGAGTCTTCAGATATGACTTCAAAAGCTTCAGATATGACTGAGCTTCCAGAACTGAGAGAGGATGAACTTCAGGTGCTCAAAGCCACCTTATTTATAGAACTTTGCTACCATAGCCCCAGAAAACTACCCCGGATATGGCAAGAATTTCATTCATTCACTTGCTCACTCACTCATTCATTCATTCATTCATTCATCCATTCATTCAAGAATTCCTATTTGTTTATTTTATAGTCTATCTACTATTTTTATTTTATGTTTATGAGTATATTGCTTGCATGTAGGTAGGTGCACCTTTGTTGTACAATGACTGTGGAGGTCAGAAGAGGGCGTTGGAACTCCTGAAACTGGAGTCATGGATGGTCGTTAGCCACCATGTGGATACTGGGAATTGAACCCGGGACCACTGCAAGAGCAGTGTTGTTAACTGCTGAGCCATCTCTCTAGCCCCATATTTATTTATTTTTATTTTATGCATATGAGTGTTTTGTGTTCTTGTATGTAAGTACATCTCTGCATCCAGTGCTCACAGAGACCAGAAGAAGGTGTTGGATCCACTGGAACTGGAGTTATGGACAGTTGTTAGCTGCCATGTGGGTACTGGAAACTGATCCCTGGTACCCTGAAAGAGCAGTCAGTGTTCTTAACCATTGAGCCATCTCTCCAGGCCCTCATTCAGGACATCTCTTATGAACACTGTTCCAGGTACTGAGCTACAATGGCATTAGGACAGAGTCTGTGTTGCTGCAAAGGCCAGAAATGGGAATTGTTTCCCCAAGTCCTTGGCCAGAGGCACCTGACTGACGAGATTCAGTCTAGTCCAGTCAGGAGGAGCTGAGTGGTGGACAAGCAAGTAAGGTATTTGCTATCCAGTGAGGCTGCGCCAAGGAAAAACAGTAACCAACACTCTGAGCCCTGGCACTAGGGCACTACAGGAGCTTCAGGATATATGGGGGAAGGACAAAAGTAGAGGGACGCAGTCCACCTAGCCAAGCAGTCTTGGTCCAGTCACCTCAGGTCTGTTTCTGAGCCTGCCGGTTCCAGGAAGTCACTATTAGGGGCAATTTGTTTCTTATTAGGAGATGGTTGCTCCTGCTTGAAGGAGGTTGGTCACTTCTAGTCATAGGACAGAAGCCTGGAGGGCTCCTGGAAGCTGAGATAAGCTTGACAGGACTCAGAACAGGCTGAAGAGTTAGAAGACATAGAGTCAGGACTCTGGTTCTCTGGTTCTCCTTCACAGTGAGAGTGCCAGCTTTGATGGACAGTACGGGGGAGGATATCTGTCCTCTGTGCCCTCCCAAGACTGGCCCCTTTAAGCCTGTGGGTTTCAGTGGATGTGATCCACCTTCCGGCTCCTCCATGACTGCATGACATGGATCAGGACAGAAAGTAGATCCACGTCCCCTTGTGAAGTAGTGCTCAGAGATGGCCTATCAGAATCTACTGAAAACAAACAAGAATTCTAGGACTTTCACTGGAGTTTTCTCTGGATACACCTGCCTCCAGTTACATAAATGAACTTGGTGTGACATGGGGTGGTAGTAGGCCAAGGGGCTGCCTGAAGTAGGAGCCACAGCACAGCTGGCAGCAGACAGACTGGAGATATGGCTCATCAGTTAAAAGCACTGGGTGACTCACACCTGCTCCGAGCACTCTTGCATCTGCCATCCAGCCTTCTAGCCCTGTAAGCAGCCAAGTTACACTTGAACTTTTAGTGTATGAGCCAGTGAATCCCCTTGTCTAACTTGGGGTTTTGTTTTGTCTTTGCTGAAGTCTATTTGGATGAGTCTGGCCGAGCCTTTGGGAAGCCAAAGCTGTTGAGACCCTCTGCCGGAGGCCTTGCCCTCCCTGATTTTGTCACCGTCTCTTGGTCTCAGGTTCATCCAAGAAGCACCCCTGCCAGGCCCACACTGGGGCCAGGATACAGGGAGTTCCAGGTGGATTGGAACCAGCACCAGGCTGCCACCTCACTGGGACTCTGAGGGTCCTGGTTACTCTGCATAAGAAGCTTCACTTTGCCTCACTTTCATGATAGAACCTCGCTTCCTCGCTATGGCCACAAGGTCCTTCAGCAACAAGAAGTAGGCGGTCAAGATGGGGTCACAGGAACCTGGGGCAGAAGCCCGAAACCCTGAGGCTGACCCCACTGAAGACCCTCAAGGGCAGATCACTGCAACCCCAAAGAAGGGGAATCTGTGCTGAGCACATGCCTTTACTGAAGCAGTGGATGAGGGGACTTCATTCTCCTTCATCAACCGATGT